TGGGGTACATTAACGGTGTTGTGTGCAAGAACAAACAAGATTGCTTGCTTCTTTCCAAGAATCGACTCAAATCTGATACCAATTGATAGGGAAGCGGTGGCGGGTTAATGAACGTTGCTCTTGTTGAAGAATCAAACCTAGAAAAGATCTAGACTCGATGAAGAACAATAAGGGATGAATCATGAAGGTGGCGGAAATAGATAGGGTTCTTTAGGGTTTCTTTTTGGTGCTGGAAACAAGATAAAATAAGATTAAAACAAGATAAAAAAGATAATGAATTGCAAATAAAATAAGATAACCAAGAAATCAAAAGATCTCCCTTATGAAGGTGAACGATAAAGATGATTGATGACGTGGATGGATATGTGGAAAATCGATGGATAATGTCCTATCGAGCCCTCCTAGTCGCAATGAAAAGGAAAACACGATAATATGGCTCTAACCAACCCTCCTAGTCGCGATTAAAAGGCAAATTGGAGTGTGAAGATTAATCTCCCTCACAAGAACTTGAAAGAACTCAAGGAGAAGAAGCTTCGAAGGCACAAGGCAATCAACACTTGCAAAAACGAACTATCGTTGTATTATTAATCAAAGAAATCTTCAATTAGAAAGTTTAATGAAGCCTCCTTTATATATGGGCTGAGTTCTAAAGGTCCTAAATAACTAATGAATAAAATAATAAACTAAACATATCTTAACTCTAATTCCTAATAAAATGATAATAACTAAAGATAATATTTAACCCAACCTTAATTCCTAATAAAATAATAAATCTAATCCTAAAAGATAATGCATCATCCTATATTAAGTTATATTACAAATAATCAATAAAATATTGAAAATTCGTAATATTTACAAAATCCAGTATTAATCCCGTATAGGATTTCTGCATGCACCGTCTTCAGTAAAATAGCCATATCTTGAGTTCCCAATATCGGATTGATACGATTCAAGAACCGTTGCAAAGATAAGAGACAGACGGTCGTATATCCAGAAGACATCTTGACTAAATAAGATCAGGATACCATTCAAAAAGTCGTCGTAAGTCTACTTCTGTTCTGATCTTCTTTTCCGATGCTTGGACGAGTGGATCATTTGGAAGAGTTATTACTTCTTCCTTTGATGTGAGCCTTGTGATGCATGTATCAGCAGCTCATCTTCCCTAAAGGGGTAATTAGGGACATTGAGAGGCTCTGTATGCGATTCTTTTGGAAAGGTAATTACACCTCAGCTAGAGGAGCCCGGGTGAGTTGGAGTCAGGTGAAGGCTCATTATAGATTGATTGGTTAATAAATACTGTTTCAGATATGTGGATTATTGGAATGTAGAGTGTAAGGCTCACTTTAGCTGGATCCTGAGTAAGCTGCTTAAATTGTAAGATGAGGTTAGGAGGTTGTTTTATTCTAATGTTAATTGGATTCAAATAAAGGGCAGTTGGATATGGGAAAACTTTCGAGACAGAAAGGAGAATGTTAACTGGCATCGCCTTGTTTGGTTCCCTACTCATATCCCAAAGTTTTCTTTGATTTCATGGATGGTCATTCTTGACAGATTGCCTACAAAAGATACACTTGCACGGCTTGGAATGGCTACTGATAATGTGTTTGGGGTGTGGGGTACTGAGATGGAATCTCGAAACCATCTCTTCTCTGATTGTGCCTATGCGAGGAAAGTGTGGGGTGCTGTTTTGCAATCTTATGGGCTTCGATAGGAGCTATATTGTTGGGATGAAGGATTTCGATGGATGGTTGTGAATTTAAAAGGTCTCTCATAGTGTGTATTCTTAAGTTAGCTTAGACTGATTTTGGGTATTTCATTTGGGAAGAACATAATCATAGGCATTTTAGAGGGTTTATTCGTTCAGTTGATACTATTGTAAGTAAAATAAAGGAGGATGTGAAGGTTAAGTTGTAAAGATGCTGCATGAATAGGCTTGATGATGTAAATAGGCAATTGTGTATATATTGGGGTTGATCTAGTTGTCTAGTGTTGTTATGTTACTTGTAGCAGCTAGTCTGCTTTATTTTTGGATGAATATAAATTTACTTATCCAAATTTTTTTTGTAGTTGTATTTTTATTATTATTATTATTATCATGATGCATGTTACTTCAACTTTTTCTATTAAAAATTTACGTAACACATAATATATATAAATTAATACTTTAATATTCATAAAAAAATCTTTAAAATCTTTAAATATTTCTAAGATTTTATTAATAATTTTAGGATTAAATGATATTTTAACTACTAAAATTATTTCATTATTATACGTGAACAGTTGTGATAGTACAATAGATTATCATGTCAATATTACAATATTCAATGATATTTTTCGTTAATCAAATCAGGCCAGTTCCAAAAAAAATGAATAAGTCATGTGTTATTATTTTTTAAAATGATATTCTTAAAATATTTTATAATAAATATTAATTTGTCAAATTTGAAATAATAAGGGATCTACGAGTTTTTTTACTAAAATTCATCATATAAAACGTTTAAAAATACTATCAAAATCTTTGTTTGTAATTTTCTCTTACACTTTTTTGAGAATCAAATATAAAATTTGTTTTCCCTACGAACGAAATATTGCTAAGACATAAAGGTTGTATAAATATTAGCTTGAGTGACATTTAACCTTAAATTTTGAGGTCATACTATATATATAGATGGGTGAGTCAAATGCTGACATTGACTTTTTTTTTTTAGATTTAAAGATCACATTTATATTTGATATAAAAAAATTTAAAAGTCGCGTTAATTCTTTTAATATGAGTACCTTGGGAACTATTGTACTTACTTTTTTCAACGAACTCTTACTTTTAAGAAATTAATTATAATTTATTTTAGGGTAAAATATAGTAATAGTCACTGAATATTTCTGAAGTTTGTATTTAGGTCCCCCAACTTTTAAAACTTGCAATACAATCTCCCTACATTTATTACGTTTGCAATATGGTCCCCCAACTTAAATCACTATTAGAAAATTAGGGTAAATTATATAAACGGTCATTGAACTTTTTAGGCACTTGAATTTAGGTCCCCAACTTTTAAAACATGCAAAATAGTCCCCCAATAATTTTATTTTCTTATTAAATATAGATGTATAGAAAATATAAATGATTCAATTTATATTTAAATGTATGAATCATTTATATTTTTGATATATTTTATTTTTCTTGTATAAACTAGTATTTAAAATATGTTTATATTTTAATCAAAATATTTCAATATACGAATAAAATATATTTATAAATGTATATTTATATTTAGATGTATAAATAAAAAATATATTCATATATTAATGTATGAATCATTTATATTTTTTGAATATTTTATTTTTAATAAGAAATTAAAATTATTAATTATATTAGAAATACTCAACTTAAGATTATATATATAATCATGAATTATAAATATGAAAAATATAATTATTAAATTTAGTTTAAAAATATATAAATCTTAAATTTATTCTTTTAAAATATTGTATCAACTAATATTTAAAAATATATTAAATCTATCAAACATTTATCAATATAATATTTTTTATTGTAAAAAATATAATATTTCCCATCATTTATTGCTTTCAAATTTTTTGCCGAAGTTCAAATCTTATTATTTCCATTTTCCATTATATTCTTTTTTTTTTGGCATTGGTCATACTATTAGTATATGTATTATTGTATATCTCTTAACACAAACGATGGTGTTAGTTTAGTGGCTCCACCCTGTATCTTTCATTTGCGTGACTCAGGTTTGAGTTTGCCCAAGACCCAAATTTTACTTCTTTGTAACTTAATTTTCTTCTAATTAGGTGGTGACATGTGTCACCAATAACATATATCATGATCATGTGTTAACACATGTCAGATCCTGGTTAAATGATTAATTTATTAATTTTATTTAATTTAGGACCAAATTGATAGCATATAATAATTAGGTGGTGACATGTGTCACCAATGACACGTGTCATGATCATGTGCTAACACATGTCAGATCCTAATTAAATGATTAATTTATTAAATTCTATTTAATTTAGGACCAAATTGATTATATAAATAATAAAGACTGAATGTATAATAATGTCAATTCCTTTTAACTGCCACTTCATCATTTGTATCAATTGGTAACGACTAGTGGCTTAGTTGAAACAGTTAAATAATTATGTTGTATGATTGATAAATTTAAAAGATCGATGACAAAAGTAAAAAGGGCTAGATAGTTAAGTTGTCAATCTAGTAGTTTACACTTTTATTTATAAGTCAAAATAACATTTTATAAATTTAAAATTCGAATTATCTTCAACCTCTTCTATATCCTAACTACTTTTTTTAATTAAAAAATTTCTTCAATAGATAAGAATTATACTATTATATTTATATAAAAAATACGTATCACATGAAATAATATGAAATTAAATAATAATAAATCTGACATAATTGAATTTAATTGAATTATTTTGGAATTTAGGGTTTAGAATGAAATTGAATTACTTTGGAAATTGGGGTTTAGAATGAAATTGAGAACTGTTTTGCAAGTTTTAAAAGTTGGGGGACCTAAATTCAAGTGTCTGAAAAGTTCAATAACCTTTTAATATAATTTACCCTAATTTCTAACAGTGGTTTAAGTTGGGGGACCATATTGCAAACAGAATAAATGTTGAGGGATTGTATTGCAAGTTTTAAAAGTTGGGGGACCTAAATGCAAGCTTCAGAAATGTTCAGTGACCATTACTATACTTTACCCTTTATTTTAAAATATATTTTTATATAAAATTTTACTTCACCCACCTTACTATATGTACCCGTTTTTTATTATTAGTAATAATAATTTCAAAATAATTATAAGTTAAAAACCAAACTTAAGGACTCCGGTTGGGTTGGGCTTTGACCTTTTAGTTTTCCGAGTTTGGTTTTGCTCTCCTGGCTTCCACCCAAAAAACAAAGAATTATTTTTCAGTCTTACTATATAAATAAATTTTCATTTCCCTTAATCAGAATTTTTTCTCCTTCTATTATATTTATGACTCAAATAATAAAACTTATCATCGTCTTCGAATTTCCTGAATTATCTTTCTCATCGTTCGACGCCGTCCTAAACAATTACAACGAGAAGCAAATAATCTACGATGATCGAATTATCGAGGTATGTTTTACGGGTTTTATTTAGGGATTCAATTTTTTTTTTCTAGGTTTCATGTTCGTCGATTGAAGAAATTTTAGGGCTTCCGCTCTTTTTAATTATTAGTTGACTCGTAATTACTGGTGGTTGTTCGATTATTCCGATGGACTGCTGATATTAACTAGGCTTTTTTACGTGTTAATTTATGAGAATGATTGGTATTTTGTGTAGATTTTTCTTCTGGAAATCTCAGATTATTGATGGGGTTTTCGTTTGAATTAACGTTTGACAGACGAAATTGCATATCTTTCTATTTATTTACATTAAAATTGGTATAAACTAAACAGTAAACGTCTTTGTTCGGGTCATTCTCGAGCTCGAGCCTTGAGCTAATCAAGCTATTAGGAAACAATGAATATGTGTGTGTCTGTATTGATGGTCAGCCGAAACTCGTTGGAGTAATTTAACTTCGACTCTTTCTGATATTTGTGAGAATCAATAAGAAGTAAGCTCTTTTCCTGTTTTTCTCATCCTTGACTTTAGAAAACCGAAGCAAAGGTAAACAGAAGAAGGGAAAAAAAGAAAAGAGAAGAGAAGAAACCATGGGTTCTGAACAGAATGAAGGAACCAGCTTCCCGCCATCTGAGCCGAAGCTATGTGCCAACGGCTGTGGGTTTTTCGGCACAGCATCGAATATGAACCTCTGCTCCAAGTGTTATCGCAACCTCCGGGCTGGTGAGGAGCAAGTTGCAAAGGCAAAAGCTGCCATGGAGAAATCTCTCAGTGTTGAAGCCAAGCGGAACGAAGTGGTTGCGGAGGCATTTAAGCGTGTCGAGGAGTCATCTCATGTGGCATCCTCATCAACAGCCGTTGAGCAACAAACAACCGTTGTTGTTGCTGCTGATGAACCGGCTGATCCAAAGCTGGCAAACAGGTGCTTTATCTGCAGAAAGAAGGTTGGATTGACCGGGTTTAAGTGCAGATGCGGGAGTACCTTCTGTGGTAAGCACCGTTATCCGGGAAAACATGAGTGCTCCTTTGATTTCAAGGGTGCCGGACGAGATGCCATTGCCAAGGCGAATCGTGTCGTGAAAGCCGATAAGGTGAGGCGATTCTGAAAGGAACAGAGATAAATTTGCTCAGGTCGTTCTTGAACGAATTTACCTTTTATGTCTTGCTTACTGCCATTCTGAGGTTTCTACTAGGTTTAGGGTCAATGGAAAGTTGTGGGCTGTTTTAATGTTCTTGCTAGTGTTATATCGGGGTTGGGAATGCTGCTTAAGTTGATTCCATTATCAAAATGGATCAATGAATTATGAATGTGTTTACCATTGAATTCGATTTGACGGTTTCCGACTCGATCTTCATTCTAGCCATATTTATTGTTTGTATGTATACATTTTATGCTATTTACTAGTTATGCTTGATGGCTTGAAATCTATTTGACATTTTGATGCAACAAAATCCGACTTAAGAGAGTCCCTGTGATATAAGAATGGATAAATTAAGTTTTAGTCCCTGAAGTGATATAAGAATGGATAAATTAAGTTTTAGTACCTGAAGTGAGGTTTAAGTATCATAATTGCAGATTCTTCCCAACATCCTCCAAACTAAACATGTGCTTATGCCGCGAATTACGGTACGCTGCCATCGTAGATTAAGGGTTTAAAAAGAACAAATTATAACAAAATCGAAATATCGTCTGAAAAACAAAGGTAAGATGTAATCATCCTATACACATATTTGGGCAACAAAAGCGTGAAATCATCGACAAAACAATGTTTTGTTGCTGTGTGATTAGCCAGCCGGTGGGGAGGATGTGGCCTTACCCAAAATCTTTAGTGTCACCCACTCAATCTTAATCAGTGCTCAACATTGTGCGGCAAATCTCCCTTTTCCCCCCCCCTAATGATTTTGTCAATATACCCAGCCCATGATCCTCTACCAGGGTCATGTTGCATGTAGGATTGTGAGCTCCTCAGGCATGCCTGTATGATATTTTAATTTTTAAGTTCCAACTTGATCTTTGTTATTTCTTTATTTTGGTCTAAGATTCTCGTTATTCAATAGACATATGAATCTCAATTATATTTAAATTCAAAGGACATATAATAAGTATTCAGTTGTTCTTCTGTCTGACCCGAAGCTTGGTTTCGGTTTCCCTTTTCATGTGTTTTTTTTTTCTCTTCGTGGTAGAAGAGACTGCACGTCGGGAACCGGTGGACGACACGGTGGAGCTAAACCGGAGAACGTGTTTTATGACTATACTGCACCTGATTTGTAGACAGTGGGCCCAAGATGTAGGTTGGGGAGTGTTGTGGTCTTGACAGCATGTCATGGGACATCACTCGAATGTTCGAAACTTGAAATCCAACAATTAAAAAACTTATTATAAAAATAATTTAAGTTAAACAAAAAATTGCACAAAGCTTACCTCCACGACTACGTCTGAACTCATGCGCGCATTTTTTACAAATTAAACGCCACCACCGATGTGTTTTTTCTTTAGAAGTATCGATGATCGACGAGCCATAAAGAATGGAGGAGATTTTGTATTACTGATCTGGATAGATCACTACCGTTTATCAAACATACTTACCCTTTGCTTTGATTCTCAAAGTCGAAGAACCGTAAAGCATTTACCTAATAGAATAACAGTGATCTCTCCATAACGGCATTCCGAGCTGGACAACCATGATTGAGGATCAAGACACTCGTGGCATCATTAAAACCAACTACCCTGTAGAACTAGAATGTTTCTGTTCTTAACCACCGAAACTAGAATTTAAGAAAAACAGGTCAGCGCGGGCAGACACTGGGCGGGCTTTACTCGCTCCATTTTCCTTCTTTATTACATAATATAAATACTACTAATCAATGCGTAGAATATAAACCTGTTTTGCAATGTAGGGCGGATTTGCCGGTTGTTGATGTGCAAAATTGGACGGGAAGGGGTTTCTCGGTCGTGAATGTTCACTGCAAGGATCGAACCAAGCTTCTGTTCGATGTTTGCACGTCGACAGACAAACATGCAATATGCTTAACCGTCTTACACATTTTCAGCGTCTTATATATTTTCGAGACTACGAGCAAAAATTAAAAAATAGAACTTTATAAAACGAAAGTATATTCTATTATTTTAAATAATTAATTTAATATTATATTAATAAGTTGAGAAAAAAATTAAATTTTATCATACATTATGTTCATTGTTTTGTTAAGAAAATACCACATACACAACTAAGAGAATAAAAAAAAAGTTGAATGTTTGTATGATATGGATCTTGATTTTGAACAATAAATAAAAAACAAAGAATAGATATTATTTTATCGTTTGATTGAGATTAGAGAAGACTAAGAGTTAAAGAATATTTGATAGATTAAAGGATGTGATTTGAAGAAAAGGAGACATATATGATTAAATTTAATTCAAAATTAAATGAATTGATGAGAGAGATGAGAAATGGACGAGAAATTGAGAATTTTATGGAATTGAAAAAATTAAGGGTTTCAATTATAAAGGTAGAAAGTGAGATTAAATAAATTAATGGTCTCAATTATAAGAGTAAAAGTGATATTAAAAAAACAACCACCTCAGTTACAAAGGTAGAAAGTGAAACTGAAAAAATTGTCTCAAATATAAAGGTAAAAATTAAAATTAAAAGAATTAGAAACCTCGATTATAATGATAAAAAAATTAAAAAAAATTAAAAATCTTAATTATAAAGATAAAAGTTGGTGTTAAAAATTAAGAACTCTATATAAAATAAAGGTCATGAGCAATCGCTAAAGGTTGCTCCCTATTAGGCGGCTCTGCGGGATGTTGTGTTTCATGCCTCCATCGACACGGCAGGGGATAAAGCATATCTGATACTAAGTTGTCTCATTATCTTTAAGATTTTGGTTTCATCATTTCAATTTTATTTACTAAAGATTTAGTTATTCTTGTAACAGGAATTCTATATTAGGCACTCAGATGGAACCCCGATTCGTTCGGAACTGGAAAGACATCGAGTAATCCAATGCTTACAAGCCGCAATCGAAAGGAGAGCATCCGAGGCACATGTCTGTTTCCGAACTCTTCTTGACTTTCAATGTTCATCCGATATTCCAAACTTTGATGCATTAGTTCATGTTATTTCAGGGCATCAGGCTGGAGTAATGCACATCGGATAGGCAAGGTTTATTAACAGATGTGACCCGGACGCTCAGAGAAAACTGTCTGAACGTGATGAGGGCAGAAATATCGACAACAACGGGTGTGGCAGTGAACGTTGTTTGTTGAAAATTCAATATTAGCCTAAATGTTCACACCTAAATTAATTTGATGTCATTGCTTACATCAATTTAGTTTTGATGTCATTGCTTACATCAATTTAGTTAGGTGAAAATTAAGTATTTTTCTCATGTTTTAATTTCAATGGTTTAGATTATTTAGTGTTTATTTTAATGAGTGGTTTAGATTGTTTCTTGTAACCTATAAATACCCTACTTGTATTTGAGTTTTATCATCCAATAATCAAAGTTTAATTATAAGCATTTGAAAGCTTTCTTAAGAGTTCTTCCCTTTTGCAATTTTATGAGATTATTCTAAAGAGAGTTTTTTTTTTGGATCAATTAGAGTTTTTACTCTATTTTGATTCTACGTTGTTTACGTATCGGATGAATCTGGGAGCCTAACAAACCCCGAAGTCATTGAATCAGTAAGACATCATATCGGTTTAAGGAACTTAAAGGTGAAATAATTGGCATTTGGGTATCATCAAATGGCTGGAAGAACATGAAACCAGTGCCGGCGTTTCGTTATAGCCCGGGAGCTTGGTGAGAAAGAATCTGTTTGGGGTTGATCAGATCCTGTTCCTGAAAGGTAAAGCTCAAAGGTAGCAATTTGGTTGAACAAAATAGGTCATTATATTATTTGCTTCAGGTTTGGGGATTAGCCTTTATGTACATATGAAACTGGTGGGATTAACCTTTATATATATATATATATAGTTTAAATAATTATATTTATATTAAGCCTTTTTTTTTTTAATTTGAAGTGTATTAGATACTTATTCCTCTCAATCTTTGATTGTAATTTTCTTCCTAATTATTCCGCGCTATAAGCTTCTGTTACTATAAAACTCTAAATTCTACTAACATAACACATTTATGACTACTTTGATATTTTTTTGGGGTTAAAGTATAAAATTAGTTATTGATTATAGGGTATTATTTTGTTGAGTTTTGTAACTATTAAAAGTTACAAAATAGTCCTTTGATTGTAGGGTGTTATTTTTTTAGTCTTTCTACTATAAAAGTTACAAAATGATCACCTGACTATTTATATGTTCTAAACTTGTCAATTTCTGTTAAAAAATTGATGGACGTTTGAGATGAATGTTAACCTGTTGATTGGTCTGGGATATGATAAAAATCTGATCGAAATCGTTTTAGTTTTATTTTATGGATCAATTCTCCATTTATATTATATCATCAAACAAGTTCTTGAAACATTATGCTGATAAGTCAATAAAATCAGTAACGGTACCAGTAACATCATTTAAATATAATATTTTTATTTTAAATATATATAAAATTAAAAGAATTTACATTGTGTAATTTATATAATCAAATAATCACGTTCTCCCAACTTAATTGGAAAGGCCGGCAATTAACCTTTTCTGACTAGGAAAATTAATATAAAAATAATCTTAACCAAATAATTAATAACAAATATATAAAATACAGTATTATTATCTCTCAGCATGAGCCCCAAGTGTTTTTTTAATGAAAAGATTCTTAATTATCTGTTCTTATTTTCCCCATCCAATGAGTTAGAAAACCAAAATAAATAAAGAAGGCATTTTACCGACAAAAATTAATTTAATTAAAGATGGTTGTGAATTCCACAACAGTATTCTAATTGTAATTATAATAATATTTGTCGTTATTAATAATTAAAATAAAGAAAAAAAAAGTTATGGGGGTTAATGACTTAATTTTCATCGAGCTCATTAACAACCTTTTAAAAAATTAAAATCAATTAATTAATATGGCCTCTTTTGTTCTTATCTTAAATTAATATTTAATAGAAATACTCAGTTAATATAATTATTATTTGATAGTTAATGTAATTATCATTTTAACTTTTTTAATATTTTATTATAATATTTAATATCTGAAATTAATTGCATTTTTAATGGGTCAATGTTTGTGGTACATCCATGATTACAATATAAAAATAATTAGGTTCATTAAATAATAATTGCTTCCTTTTTCCAATAAACATTTTATAATATTTTGAAAAAAGTTATTATTATTATTATTTTCTCTCTCATCTCCCTTTATCAGAACTCAGAAGTGATCGAATATTAATTAAAAAAGTTATTTTGATAATACAAATAGAACTA